GCTCAAGACGATATTAGCTGCTTCATGCAATGCCAATACATGCAAAAGCTTGAAAGCTGCGGACTTATCGTTCTCTTGAATTTCCTTCGACTCCCTCGACACAGTTTTCAGATTGCGGAGTCTTTTTAAAACTTTCCTAATTCACTTTTCTAAATTTTTTTTCTTTCATGTTGTACATAATGATATCTTTCACTTATTCCCCGAGCTTACCTCAAATTATTCCTCCTTATATTCCTTCTTGCTTTGATTCTCGTTCAACGTTCAGGTTGGCGCAACCATGGTTCCAACCACTTTTTTGCCGGTGGTTATAAACCTATCGCTCAAAGCTATGGGCTCACTCGAAATATTTCAAAAAATTAAAGTGGGTTCTTGAATACCTTCATTAATGGACATGTTCGAGAATATTTTAGAAAGCGATCTCTTGATGTATCTGGCTGTTTGCCTTTTCTTCTTGCTTGAAATATTAATCTCATTGGAGTCATGGATTTGTTTCGATTGAGTGAGGCGTTCTCTTTACACATTTCAAGTTTGCGGTCGACTTCTATTGTCTCAATTAGTTCAATCCCCACTTATTGTGTGAATTCTCTAGTAAAAGACCTGAAAGCTAATTTTAGTAACTGCATTGATGATTGGGTTCACTCTTGTTCTACAGACCTCGGCATCGTTCGAAGAGGCAGAAAAATCGAAGCTTCTTGTGTAGCTAGCTTTTGTCAGGCAAAAATGTGACTTCTTTGTAATGAAAGAAGAGTGTATGCTAACTTGTTGCTGAATACAGAATGTGATTCAATATTAGTGACATGTCTGTCTCTGTAGACTCACCAATTCGGCTATTCACACTTACATGTGCATAGCATTTCCATAACCCCTTACCTACGGTGAAAGGAGTCACCAAATGCCTTATAAATTGGAATAAGCTGATACTCTTTAGAAGCCGCTTAGCGGAATTCCCATCCGATCCATGTCACCATCCGAAATTTTCCCCCCTGTAAGTTTGTCTTTTCTGTGACTGTTTTCCTGTAAAAGGGGCTGGCTAAAGAGTAGCCAATTTTCTGGAGCTAGAGACTTTCCCTACAGATCCGATTTCTTCCCCAGGACGACGATGATGACGGCTTCCCATACATACGATGAGTTTGCGTCAATCTTCCCTACTCGTTCAAGATGTTACGGTGTAAGCGCTATCAATTTCTGTAGTCATGAGAATAAAGCAATGACCCCTTTTGTAGTAGAGTTACATGCTCTTTTCATAGATATTTAGATACTCCTTTCATTGTGGCAGTTTCGACCGGACAAATTGGATATCGCAAAGTATGATTTCATCTAGCAGAGTAACCGATATTGTTTTTGGAGATCCCCGTATGTCTTGATAAGACGTCATCTTCCGCTTAGCGAGGAAATCAAGCTCCTGGAAATAGCTCATAGAGCTGGCTATCGTCACACATCAGTTTTAATTTATTTTAATAATTCTTCAACACACTTCTAAGGACGTAAGAACACTTCCAAAGCTTCCCGGGTTTTGACAAGTGTTTATGAAATTGACGGTTGCAGTAAGGACCGTCGAAATAACTATTATCAACATTTTCAGATTTTTGGTGTTCGGGATTTCTGGTGCTTGGGCGGAGTTGCAGAGGTCGAACAAAGGGGGGATACTAACAGTCATATCTAACATACATACTTATCCACACTCTAGACAACATCGATCATGAGTCAACATTGTGCAAGCGTGTTTGTGTTGAATCACCTCCGTCCTTTGCTACAAGTTGGCATGTACTCTTCATCGGCTACAAAAAGACATGTTATGACTGATAACAGCTAATCATACAATGGCGCAGCGGTGTTTTGGTTGAAAGGTCTTCAAATGCTTCAGGAGCTTTTTAGATTACGAAGTATTCTCGTCTTCAGCGCGGTTACTAGTTAGGAATTACTTAAAATGAAAATGTTAAAAACATATGAGGTCTAAACAGGTCCGAGACAAGCAGAATGCTACCACCTGTCCCAGACAGATCAAAAAGCTCGCTTCTCCAATTAGAACAAGTCAGTCATAGCTAGGAGCAGCAAAGTAATCGTTGAGAATCCGATAATTGTGTGTAGGATGTTATCATACCCCCATAATTTCCAATTAATATATGTAAGTTGAAAGGTAAGTGGATAAGTTCACCTTCGTTGGAATGGAAAATTCCTTTCTTAACTGTTGTTGTTGTCGCACGGGTCGGATCGGATCTGTGAACCGTTGTGCTACAGTTTAAGACGCCAATGCACAAAATCTACAAGAATAGGACCTAATGTCAACCGGTGGTTATGTGGACAGATAGCAAATCGTCCCATCTAGCTCGGCTTCAGGAATTTCCTCCTAAGGTCACGGTTCACGATCCTTTGGGATCATCCCATACTACCGGAATCAGGTAGCCATTCCGAAATTTTTCATTTGGTTCCTGCTTTGGTTTTAACTTTGGCCGATAATATAAGTGGTATTATCCTACTTACTATAAAGCGCTTAGTCTGTCTGTCTGTCTGTATGTCTGTCACGAAATTCATTAGCTCCTTTAGATCTGCCTGGAGAGACCGGGTCAAGTGTGGTATGGGTGGGCCAGGTCTCGAGAAG